ATATTATATGTGTGTGTGTATGTGTGTGTGTTTGTGTGTGTGTGTATGTGTGTGTGTTTGTGTGTGTGTGTATGCATGTACATATGAATATATATATATATGTGTGTGTGTGTGTGCATGTTTTTGTAAATATTACATCTATATTATTATTATTATTATTATTGTTATATACTATGTATATATATATGTGTGTGTGTGTGTATAAATATATTTATATATATACATATACATACATACATACGTGTGTGTGTGTGTGTGTATCTATGTTTGTATACATACTATATTAGTTATATTAATTATATTGAGTACCACTTTATGTGTCTGTGTTTGTGTGTATTTTTATGAACATGTGTATGTGTTTGTGTATATTATTCGTATGAGGCTTATGTGTTTGAAAACGAATATCCTAGTGGGTAGTGTTTAATCTTCATTTCAAACGATCAATCTTAGTGACACGTTCTCCGCTGCTGCTCCCTTTGTGCTAACAGCTTGCAAACTACGCTGTGTATACCCCCTTAAAGAATAAGCTCCATATATATTGGCATTGCTGAGTTCAAAGATCAATTTTATTTCTGCTCAACGCAGAAGAGTTTCTTTTTATATACACTTGTGTACGTTCCATGTATTTTTTGCATACGTATATATATATATGTATATAGGTATATCTATTATAGCTATATATATATGTGAGTGTGTATGTGCATGTATGTATGTATGTATGTATATACATATACATATATGTATGTATGTATATATGCATATACATATATGTATGTATGTATATGCATATGCATATATGTATGTATGTATATACATATATGTATATATATATGTGTGTGTGTATATATATATATATATATATATATATATGTATGTGAAAATGTACATATGTATATTAATTATTCATGTGCGTATACATCTATGTATGTATCAATGTGTGTTTTATTTGTGTTTATATTTTTCTGCCTGCCTGTAACGTGTAGTACTGCCGATACGTATCCTCAACATGATCAGCTGTTATCGCCCGAGTATCTCATCGTTTGTCTCGTAAGCCATCTGCATGCATCATCTTCAAAGCTGCCTTCCTCTGCGAGTCTCTCCAAAGGTTCTTACCTACCGAACTGAATTGGCAGGCCTGTTCTTCTACACACACAACATTCGACTGATCCATGTCAGCTATCATACGCACACGTACCCCTGACTATGTACTTAACTAAACTCCCATCGTACAGCTACCAACGGTGTGGTGATTGCCACTGAGAAGAAGATGCCAACAGCCCTGATAGATGAATCGTCCCTTCAGAAGATTTCTCTTATCACCCCAAAAATCGGCATGGTCTACAGTGGGATGGGACCCGATGCGAGGTAATGTATATATATATATATATTGGGTGGGGGTGAGTGAGTGTGTATGTGTATATATGTGTGTGGGTGTGGGTGTATGTGTGTATACATATATATATATATATATATATATGTGTGTGTGTATATATATATATATGTGTGTGTGTAGTATATATATGTGTGTGTGTGTGTATGTATACTATATATATATATATATGTGTGTGTGTGTAGTAATATATATATATACTATGTGTGTGTGTGTGTGTGTGTGTGTGTGTAAATATATATATGTGTGTGTGTGTATGTGGGTGTGTGTACATGTCTGTGAGTGTGGGTGTGTATGTGTATGCATATTTTATATATATATGTATGTATGAATGCATATATTGTGTAGACTGTTTGTGTGTACAGTAATGATTCCATCCCGTACAATATAGCGGGAAAATACACAGACCGTTCTCGGATGATCTTGTTTAATGTGCTGAGATTTTACCTAGCATGAGATTACCTTCGTACCTACAAATAGCCACTCTTTCACTCACTCGCTCGCAAACGCGACCAAACCCGCCAGAAATTCGCACATATCCTATCACCAATATGTACAAACACGACCACATCAGACGCTGAAGTCAGTGCTCCACGCATCTCTCCCCTTCAGAGTGCTATCGAGAAAGAGTAGAAAGCTGGCTGCTCAATACTGGAGAGTGTATAAGGAGCAGGTGCCTCCATCACAGATCGTCAAGGACATTGCTGGGGTCATGCAGGAGTTCACACAATCCGGGTAAGCTTTCTGTTGCTCTTGTTTGTTGGTTAGCGTACTTAACGAATCTGGAACGTTTGTGCATCTTTCCGGTTTTGCTTCTCTCCTAGAACCTCTGATGTATTTTCTTTCTGTGCGCGTATATATATATATATATATATTGTATTAGGTCCTATATACCAACAATTCGTGTATGTAGTGGAATCAGTGGGTACACCCTCCGTTTCCCACGTTTTTGCGCAAACACACGTGGTCTGTACTGTTCTACATAATACTAACTCGTAGATTATAACATTCGCTCCTGTGCGTTGAGACACATTGCACATACTGTCCTAAGGTTAACGGTGCAGTTGTATCTCAACCGAACGGCTTGTCCCAATCCGTTCATTCCTTCCTTCATCGTTAGTCTGCGAGAAGCTCTGTCCTGTTCATATATCTCACGCGTGTTACCAGAGCTCTAGTTACTTAAACCCGCCCGTGTTGTGGGGAAGGGGGTTAGTTCCCGTGTATTTGATCCGTACTTACCTCTGAGCCATTCCATCGCAATCGGTTTGTTGCAGTGGTGTAAGGCCATTTGGAGTGTCTCTGCTGGTGGCGGGCTATGAAGACGGCGAGCCTAAGCTTTACCAGGTGTGTGTGTTATATAAGTGATGAATAAGAGTGTCAGATAGATGGATAAGTGCATGGATGTGTACTTGTTACTCTACTAGGTGCGTGTGTTATATCTGTGATAGATAGAATGTCAGATAGATAGATAAGTGTATGGATGTGTACTTGTTACTCTACCAAGTGTGTGGGTTATATCTATAACAGTTTAGTGTATGGATATGAGCTTGTTTGTATTGTAAGTTTTATTTGTACGGAGTGTTTCGCTGAGCAGATGGTAGTGTGGCTGTTATACCGTTTCAAGGGGTGCACTTAGATAGCTATAGGTGGATGGCTGTACCTACAAATAGATAAACACAGTATATATCTGGGGCGAGGCGGGTGTGCCGGTGTATCATTTAGAAGATGGTGCGTGTGTCTGTCTGTCTGCAAACCGGATTCGCAATGTCAGACTATTCTACAAACTGCTGATTGTGCATTCTACATGCTGGCACATGAGATGAGTTGACTAGGCGTTCGTTTGCTGATACACTTATAGTGTTCTGTGTTCCTGTGCATATATGCTGCGACAAGCGAGTTGAGGCTACTTGTACTTGTACTTGTACTTGTACTTGTACTTGTATACTTATACTTGTACTTACTTATACCTATACCTATACTAACACACTCTGAACATCTGCCTGACTCTCCGCAGGTGGATCCATCTGGCTCATACTTCGCCTGGAAGGCGACTGCAATTGGCAAGAACTTCATCAGCGCAAAGACCTTCTTAGAAAAACGGTAGGTGGCGTTACTTAACAACTGCGTGTGCCCCTGTCGGGTGCGGAACCATCGCAAGCCAATGTTATAGACGGCAAACCGCGTGCTATTGCATTTTAGTTTTGTTTTAGTCTGAAAGGAAGCGGAGTGGTGTATGTAGTATGTAGAGTCATATCCGTGTATATAGATTTATTTGTGTATAATATAGTGTATATCTGTTTTTATACATGCTTTAATACATATGTATACATATATGTGTATATATATGTTTGTTTAAGTTTAGCACTATTTTGGTAGTCTTCTAAACTTGTGCATATGTCGCAACTAGGCGGTACGAAATCTCGGTATCACCGCTAGATGCTGCTGTGGTGTTGACAGTTTATTTTACTTATTTCTCTGTAGTTCTATAATTCTTAAACACTTTATTTTGTTTTACGTTAACTTTGTTTGTCTTATTTCATCTTTGTTGCGCTGTAGTTATAACGATGAGATGGAGATTGAAGACGCCATCCACACAGCCATTTTAACGCTGAAAGAGAGTTTCGAGGGGCAGATGACGGAGAATAACATTGAACTGGGTGTAGCCGATGCGAACGGCTTCAGAAGCCTATCACCCGCAGAGATCAAAGACTATCTAGCCACCATCAGCACATAAACACTCACTGGTGCTACGCCATACACCGTCGCATAGGCTGTGGCAGTGCTTGCCCCTAGACATTAAACCGACCATGACGTAAACCCTAAACCCTACCTACAGTTCGCAGAGTGTTTTCAATTAGAATGCGTTGTTGTCTGTACCATACCGTGTCGGGACTATCAACTGTAAAGATGGAAAGGCTGCGGTGTTATGGCCAATATATACCCACCTCGTAGTTTGTGCTCGTGTGTCTGTTATAGTTTGTGCTCGTGTCTGTTATAGTTTGTGCTCGTGTGTCTGTTATAGTTTGTGCTCGTGTGTTTGTTATAGTTTGTGCTCGTGTCTGTTATAGCTTGTGCTTGTGTCTGTTATAGTTTGTGCTCGTGTGTCTGTTATAGTTTGTTTGTGTGTCTGTTATAGTTTGTGCTCGTGTCTGTTATAGTTTGTGCTCGTGTGTTTGTTATAGTTTGTGCTCGTGTGTCTGCTATAGTTTGTGCTCGTGTGCCTGTTATATCTTGTGCTCGTGTGTCTGTTATAGCTTGTGCTCGTGTGAATGTTATAGCTTGTGCTCGTGTGTCTGCTATAGCTTGTGCTCGTGTTTTATGCTTGTGCCGACATATC